CTTTTTTCCTAGCTTGATCTTGAAGCTGCCCTTGTTGATTAGTCTTAGTGTTGCTATCGTTTTGTGTGTGGTTAAAGTTGGAAGCTTTAGGCTTATGAATTATGATGATCATTGTGTGATTGCGCTTGTAATTTAAGTTCAGTTTATTCAGCCATTGGAGTGGAGAATTGATCGAATCCCGTAAAAGAAATAAAATTAATTTTTAAAAGGCAACTCCTTTTTATATGTTAGTCCTTTAATTGTACTTTATGCATGCTTTTCTTTGATTCATAATTTGATGCCAGGCTTTTGAATTTGGTCAATTGTTTATGGTGTAGAGAGCTTTACTTCACATAGATAACCCCAATAGTGATAGTCTGTGCTTCGAATTCATGGGTTGTTATCAGTTATACTACTATTGTTCTTCCATGCCCTAGATTGCAGCTCTTGCAGTTGCTATTTGGGTTGATGAAACTTATAGGAACTTTGTGAACGATGTTATCATCAGCTTAAGTAAATTCTCCATATTGTAATTATGCTTTGAGCCTTTGATTGTGGAAGGAGGAGATACACTGACCAGGTTCATTTTGTTCTCTCTTTTATTTAGTTGAAGCTCCTTTTCTAGATTTGGTATCTGTTAGTGGAACCAGGTGATGCAATACTTCTTGTAGATGTGCCATAGTGTTAGATCCAAGAGGCATACCTCCAGTTGATTAAGTATGCTACTCGGAAGAGCAATAAGCTACCTGATTATGAATTTTATGATTCTATGCATTTAACCCCTCCAGTGTATATTTACGATGTAACCCACTAATCCATACTATTGCAGTAAAAATGATTTGTGGTTACGGTAGAGAAGTATAATACATTCAGCTGTCATGTTCTAGCAAACCCAAATATTGATATATTGGGTAGAATGAAAAAACAAGTAATGCCTGTTCTTCAGTAGTGATAGAGGTAGCAACAGTGAGTAACTTTTCATGGAATGGGGGCAACTCTTAGGCAATTTTGTTGCTTTTGTGGGTATGACCGTAAAAAGGGGTAAAGATTTGGGATGAAAAAGGGGAAACCCCTTTTACATGCAATAATTGATTGTGGACTGTCTTCAAGTTTTCTTTTTCAAAGAGAAATCTTTTGTTGCTCTCTGTTGGTCTATAGGTAAGTTGTGTTGCTGTAGCCTGTAGATTTAGTTTTGGAGCACCGACCACATGGTAATCCAGGTACTTAACTTTAGAGTCTTGAATGTTGACGTTATGTTTCTTTCTCCCTTTTATATGTAGCTGTGCAGTGGGTACAAGAGGACAAAATCACCCTGTTCACTGCTGATGGGTTGATACAAATTGGAGGGAATTTGGTTCCACAAGGTGTCTCTTCCTCTGATGTATGTCAGCTCTCTCTTGGCACAAATTTGTATTCACAGTTCCTTCATTTTTATCCCTGACGAGATGTCAATATGATTCTATTATTCTTATTTTTTTCCTCTCTCTCTTTTTAATAAGTCATAGATGCTTTTTGCAGTGCTCTTACTAATAATTACTGTGTAAATGGGTATAATTTGTGTGCAGAAGAAGCAAGGAAAAGTAAAAATGTCTCCAAGATTACAACGGTACCAAGAGAGTGATTACATGGATCCAGCTCAAGGCCTATGTTTGGGTGCACTTTTTGATATTGCAGCAACAAATGTAAACGATATTTATTTAATTTACTTGAAGCATTGGTCTTTCAAAATTTTTTTCTCTCCCCGATATATTGAAATGAAAAATGCCAATATCAGGGTCTTGACATGGGTAGAAAGCTATGTATTCTGGGATTTTGCCGTTCTGTTGAGATGTTGAGTGATGTTGTGGAAGATATTGTAGTGGAACACGGTGGTGAGGTAGATACTTCTCCGTGTTACTCATTGCTTTACTTTTTTCTCCGTGTTTCTGATCATATGCACGTAACCTTCCTGAATCATCAACATATGATATTTAATGGTGATTTCTTTGTCCATCAAATAATTATTATGTACTTGCAGGTTGTCTCTGCAGAAAAAGCAAGCAAAGGCGGCATGCATGAAAAGCTAACCATGACAGTTTCAGTTCCTCTTCTCTGGGGGATCCCGCCTGCATCTGAAACACTCCATCTTGCTGTTCGAAGTGGTGGAGGCATTGTGGAGAAGGTCTATTGGCGATGGGATTTCCTGTAAATGATTTAACTAAGATTCCTGTGCATATTGTGTATAGTATTCTTGTGCTACTATGTACAAAATTGAACTAACTGGTTAACTCTTACACTCATCAATGTATTCACATTCACTTCATCGTTCTCATCCGTACTTAAACTTTCAATAGCAGCTGCCCTCATATCATATCCTCTGACTGGGTTTGCATTCCCATTAAACCTCTCCATTCAATTCAGTTGAACCATTCCTTTGACTCCGTACTATAACGAGGATGACAGCAGTTTTCTAGGAAAATGTTTTGTTTTGCTATGAAGACACAGGGCGACTATTGGATCATTGTTATCTGGTTTCAAAGTTTACAAGTTTCAAACTTGCACCTAACATTGAAGACACTCTAAACTCATCCATCTTTGACAGCTATATCCCCCTTCCACATTTCAACAGAAAAGAAGACTTTCTTCCATCATGGCTTATGAATTTTGTTGACTGCAACTTCCATATTCTAGTTTCTTATCTGTTCACATGTTACCTTGCCTAGCTAGACCTTCATAGGGATAACGAAAGGATGACACTTGCCCACTTCTCTTTGACATTTGCCAACTTCAACTTTAATCTTCTTCTGCCAATGGCAACTTTAGCCAAGTTAGTCTGACAAAATTTCAAGTTCGACTTCCAGTAGGAGCGGTTGGTGGGGTTTAAGACGAGACTTAGAAGATGTTGACTAAGCTAGCTTGTTACAAGGGACAATCCGCACACAGTTTTGTGATTTTACAAAGGGGGAAACCAGTTTTGAGGGTGTAAACTTTCTTAATTGCTTTTAGAAAAAAAGTGTGGAATTTGATTGTACTTTGTAAGAGACTTTACTTGGAAATGTTGGACCTGATGAGATGCAGGTTTTACCACGGCATGTGTTCATGCCCTAGTGACAAGCCAAGTTGATGGAGCTGTGCTTGCTTCCAGAACCTCCATGGACGACAATGACACATTTTTTGTTATTTCACATTCACCAATATCTGTATCTCTTAAGATCAGACTAATTCAAATTAGTCTGGGTCGGTTCCATTTGAGTTGAGAGCAACCCTCTCAACACTGTTATTGTATACACATGAGTTTGAACTTCCGATTTTATTCCTAGTGACTTAGATCCCTTCCATTAACACCAAACATGGGAACAAAACCTATGCCTATATCCAGTGAAGCTATAGATACACCAAATGGAGACAAGCAGGTTTATCTGTTAATAAATGATTATTGTTCTCTTTGTATATACAGATCGAAACATGGGAAACACACAGACACACACTCTATATATCACTTAGAAGACTTTACAGAAAAGGTGACTTTCCCCCTTCAAAATCTTGATTGATCATTAGGTGTAACACCTTTTGACCTTTTGCACTCCACTAGAAAAGACATTCCTGAACAACAACCTTTTCCCCAGAGATTTTGAGGCATAAAATCCTTAAAATATTTGCCCCCCCAGCTGGCTGGCTGCCTGGCAAACCCCATCTCATTTATCTCTTATTTTATGTTCTTATCACATACAGATACAAACAAAATGAGGTGAAGAGGTCAATGCATTCATTTTCCAATATATCCCATTTTCTTAATCCCCCTTTAATTAATTCTACTGTTGATAATGATGTTATTCATCATCATTATATTATTATTATGAAATCTATTTACAACCTTTATTTGATAATAATAAATATTAATTAGGAAATTAATTAATATGTTATTCATTTTAATTAATTTGTTCAAACAATACAGTGAACCAACCTCATAGCTAGCTTTGACAAGAATCTGCCATGGCATCATGTGCTGAGATATGTTCACAGTATATGTTTTGGTACTTTTGGACTGTCCCCTATAAGGATTCTCTTTCACTAGCTTCTAAGATGACTTCAATTCCCAGTTTTTTTATACCACCATGCTCCCCGAGTGGCCTTTTTAAAAACAATTTATTTTATTTTCGTTCTAATCAAGCCAGTTTATGGACCAACCATTAATATAATTTTTTTTTTTTTTTTTTTTTTTTTACCTACAGCACTATAACCCAAAAAACCAATACCTTTTATGTACGTGTTACAATCACAACATGAATAATGTAAGACGATGATGACGACATTACAGAAAAACTAAATCAAATGAAATTTGAGTATTTGAGTGATTCAATCATTGAAATTGTCAACCCAACACAGATTTTTTAAATAAATATATCAAGCATCTCGCCAACGCAGTCTGAATTTTGAGCAAAGAAAAAGATGGAAAATTATGATGAAATAATTGTGTGTTTAGTATTGTTTAATCCAACGTTGTCGTGATCAGCGGCGTCTGGCTGACCGGAAACCATGGAAGCCAGGCGGCGTGAATCACTCCAATTTTTTTTTTTTTTTTTTTCTGTGAAAAACAAGATCTCAAAATGTAGTCGATTCTGTGGATGAGATGTCCATTTTAGATTCAAGCACCAATCTGTCATTTTATTTAAAAAATTAGTTGTCGGAGGTGACTGAGATACTTGTAAGGATTAACGTTAAATCCCATAATTTTTTTAAAGAAAAAACTTGTTGAAACCACAAAAATCCAAGGCCTGACAGGCTTCAGATTTAAACTAATAAAAATCATATCATGCATGTTACATTCATAATACAATAATACTAATAATTATTACTCCGTATAATTTAACGTTTCAGCCTTGAAGTTTGGTTCTGGAACTAATTAATATTGCTATGATAGACGAGTCCCATATTTTATGTATTAAATTCATGAATATTTAATTGATGTGATGCGATATGACATTTTGCACCATATTTAATGTAAAATAAAATTTGGAGTAAAAATTCAATACAATATTTTCTTCTAGAACGAAAATAAAGATGGAGACATCTCTATTCTTTAATTTTCAAGAAATTTACTACTATTGTTAATACATCACTAAGTCGTCATTTCCAAGAAATAAATGCACAAAAAAAAGTCTACTTTTTATGATCATGATAACATGTACTCTGATGAAGAAGGTAAAAAAAAAAAAAAAAAAAATCACCAAATTTAAGAATTCCCAGGAAGCAAGTCTAGTTGAAAGAGAATCTGCATAGGAAACATGTTCCCAGGAAATCTTGTTTCTGACTTAGTACTGGCAACAGTGGAGGCATGAGAGAGAGAGAGAGATCAGTAGTACAAGACCACATTTTCTGGTGTCTTGTTTTCATCAACAAAGAAGTTGTTACACATGTTATTAGTGCTAATCAGCTGCTTAATCTCCTCCAAACTGCTATAATCTAAAGGGTTATTGCCAGCAGCGTAGCATCCTCCACTCTCAACAACACTGGGCTTCACATCACCATTATCATACACAAAGCTCTGCAACCCTCCATAGGTTTCACTATAGTCAAACTCCACCACCTGATTATTGTCTTTGCCGCCATGGGTGATCTGGTTATTCACTGTGCAGCTCCCATCAGAGGAACTGCAGCTAGCAGCACCAAAATTCAGGACTCTGTCTGTCATCACCATGTGATGGGGCTGGTTCTGGATGGGGCCCACATAAGCACTGTGCTGTGGTGGGATGGAAAGGGCAACAGCAGCAGCTTGAAAATCTTGAAAAGTGGGGGATGGGAAGTAATTGTTGCATTTGATTAATGGTGGTGGGGATGAGATTGTGGATGGAGATGAATATGGGGAAGAGGAGACTATTGATGGTGGTGGATATGCAGGTGTCTGGTGATGAGGTCTGCAGGTTTTCTGAGAAGTAGTAGTAGAAGAAGAAGAAGAAGAAGAAAAAGTGACCAATCCCATTAGCTTCTTCTTCAGCTTGGTGTTCCAGTAGTTCTTAATGTCATTGTCTGTCCTGCCTGGCAACTGAGCTGCTATTATTGACCACCTGCACTCCACCAATATACATACCCATATATGTTTAATTCAATTCCCAACTATTGTATATATCACCCAAAAATTAAACTTGCAGATTCTGATCTCAAAGAGTTTTTCAGAAAGAAACATATAATATATACCTGCTTCCAATGCTAGCATAGAGGCTGCAAATTACTCTATCTTCTTCATCTGAAAATTCTCCATGTTTAATGTTGGGTCTCAGATAGTTAAGCCATCTTAATCTGCAGCTTTTCCCACACCTTCTCAGCCCTAATGCAACAAAAAAAGATTTAGATCAGTAGACAACAACAACAACAGGCCTGAATTCAAGAAAATTAAATTTTCTTCATATAAGATCAGATCAGATGACTAGTAAATAACATACCAGCCTTTTGAGGAAGAGCTATCCAGTTCCCACCAGTGCCTTGCTTCTCTATGTAGTCTTTGAGCTTTGCATCTTCTTCTGGTGACCATGGCCCTTTCTTCACATTTGCCTTATCACAGCACGGAGCTCTTCCCATCTTTCTCTCTGATCTCCACCCTTCTTTTGATGATTTCAAATATGGTGTCTGTATGTAGAAGGTTATGGTTTTCTTTTGTTTTCTTGGAAGACTGGCGTTTGGACAGCCCAAATATATATATTTATTGGGGAAGGTACACAAGTCAAACTACACACTCCACAATTTCAATTATCATTTATCATTATCTATCAGTTGTCTAACACTCCTTACTGATTAGCCAACACAACTTTCACAAATAAAATATTCATCTCCAATAGTTACACTGTAACAGAAACCTTTCCATAGCTACTTTAACACATGTACATCCACGTACTACTCCATAAATCTTTAATATTATTAAGCCAACTATTATTTTTACCCTTCAATTTGTTATAATATTTTAAGAATATTTGGATCTATCGATATCCAATAATATAATTTTTTTTAGAAAAATTATATAAATTATAACAACAAATATTATATAGTGCAATTGATGAAATGGGTTGGATCGATTATGTTTTTTAATATTATCCTTACTGGAATTCAAGTAAATAATTGTCGAATTACCCGTATAATACATGTGCGATGAACGGATGAAATTTTTATTATATATTTAAATAATAAAATTAAAGATGAAATTATAACAAATCTATTTTTTTTTTTTTTTTTTGGTTTCAACTAAATGATTAAACCATTAACAGATATACTCATATTAATTTATTATTTTGTATTTATCCCAAACAAAATATCTCGTGGAAATTAATAAATGTTGCATGGCTACACATTTACTAAGTCTTTCTTTTAGTTTCAGCCTCAATTCAATGAGCATCTAAAGTCTGCTCAAGAAATGGCATAAAATTCACCAATTCAATGTGATTGGGTTATAGTTTCCAGAGATAGGCCAAGTCATAAGTTCACTATTATATTATTATCAAATCACTAGACCTTCTAACAAGTAAGTAGTACTGCTAAAAGTCTTCTTGCTTCTATCCATATACAATACTTGTGATTGTAGTTTTATATTATATTGCAGGAAATATTATATGTTTAAACACATGGTCACAGGCTAATTAGTCTTATTATATCTAATTAATTATTCATTACAATTTAAAAGCTGGTGTCTTCATCCTAGCATCTAATCTGGGCATTGTATCCACATGTGTCTATACATGTATTGGTGCTGTATATATAGAATAATATATATTGTGTTTCTTGATAATATTATCCTTTTATACTCGTAGGATTTTATCTTAGTTTAAATATAATGGATTTTTCTACTGTATCGATAGCACTAAGAACTATTGGAATTAGTGTAAATGTATAGTATCCAGTACACTAAGTATGGTATACTTTTTTTGGATGACAAGGAAAATCTGTAACTATTATTCAAGGGTGTGAAATGAGTAAACCTTACTCTTATGTAATAGTCCACAAGTCACATAGAGGAGGTAAATCACACTAAGAAAACTTTGTATATCCGCGAGCTCGATCGAGTAAATGTTGCCAAGAATCAAAATCGTCGCATTCTAGTACAATAATCATGCTCCACCCGTGGGTGTCAATTGCAAGGTGAGCTGAAGCCCACGGGCCAGCCCTAAACCGCCCTGCGACAGGGCGAGTTAGGGCCTAGAATTTTCATAGGCCTCACATGGGGTATATATATATATATATATATATATATATATATATATATATATATATATAAACACGAAAAATATTATTTAGGTTAAATTATTTGAATATAAAATAATAAAATAATAATTTTTTAATTTTTGAAGTTAGGCTCCCGAGACCCGTGAGCCCTCATGAGACGAGTTACGGTTGCATAATCCTAGTCAGTGGGCCGACCCGTAAAGACTCGTGGTGTGATGGGCTGACCCGCATTGACACCCCTATAACCTCCACCCGGCCACTTAGCTTGATCACTCTTTTCAGGACAAGTATGTATACTAGATTATAATCATTATTACCTGCACCAATGGCTATATGTTACCCTAAATTATCTGCATGCAAGCCAAGTCTAAATATATATAATGTTAATGGAAACTACTGTTAAAAGTGTGGAATAGAAATTAATTAGAAGAAATGTCTTAGTCTTAAAATCTGAAACAAATCATGATATATGATAAAGTAAATAATTATAGGTTTTAAGCGGTCTGCCACCAGCCAAATTGCAAGATATAAACAATCTTCAAGTAGCAATTTTTAAAAGACCTTGACCTTGACAATGGCATTAAGATTGCCAAGTAATAGCCAATCAAAATCAAATTGCAGTGAGACCCCTAGCATTTAAGAATATTTCACTTTGTCCAGCGAATTGAACCTCCCCTTTCCTGGTTAAGGATGTTGTACCTGGTCAATCTTTACCTCAATTGCATCACTCCTCCTTTATTTGGCTTCCTTTTCCTCATTAAAGATGTTGTACCTCGTCATCCTTGATTTTGTTGACCACACCCGCCCTACATGCATTATATATGTAGTCCATCTTCTGATTGATCAAGTTGAGAAGATATGATGATTTCAAGAATTAAAGCTAAGGGGAGAAATTTAATTTGTTGTTGAAACGGCCATGGCCATCTATTATCTATCTCCAATTAACTTTAATTTCATATATACGATGCTGCTAGCTATGATGGTTCCATTAAGATGAGGTAGGTAGGGGCCTGCCCAAATCAAAGAAATTGCAACAATTTGTACGTTTGTAGTGTTGGAGAAGAAACGCATAGGCATAGCATCCTTAGCTTTGAAGGACGAGACCAATTCATAATGCACATAAATGGCTATTCATATGTAAAATAATAGCACTCAAAAAGGCTTGACCCTTTTTTTTTTTGGTAGTACTGACACTGCAGTTATAATGCAGTAGATCTTATATTTGTTCTCAACATACTGAAACACAATGCCTCCTTTAAAGCACAAATAATCCATAACACCTAACGCCTCCACCTAGGCTCGAACCCACAATTTCCCATATGAGAGAACAACTTGGTGTCACCAGACCACAAGGTCGTTGGCAGGCTTGACGGATACTACACAAGTTAGTTTGAGAGTCTTGGATTGATTTGAAAATCCTCTTGCCAATTACGGTGACAGTATTGAAGTGACTTGACTATGTTTTGTTTATTTTATATTACTAGATAGTCACTATATATATCATCACTGAACAAAATTTAATTTGTTCCAACTTATTATTGGTCAAGCTTAATAATTCCTTCATGCCAACACAAAACTTTATATCAATACTCAGACCCAGTTTCATCTTAGGGCATTCATAGCAATTGATGATGCAAAGACTAGCTAAAATCCAAATGACTTTATTAGGTGCAACAATATTTTGTTGGCATTAATTTATATATACATTGCCATATACAAACATATTAACAGTACAAGTCATGTAATATATATATTGTTGGAAATCTTAATGTAAACGTTTGAAACCTTGGACATCTGTCATGAATTCAACTTCATGCAAAGCATATGATATTCATCCCTTGTTTTGCGTCCCCATATAAGAGGAAAACAGTTGTTACATGCTACTTGTGTCATGTCCTTTTTGAAAATAGGAATTAGTCAAAACCATGGTAGGTCGCAACGTTTCAAATTATACTATCTATTTCCCCATCTTCTTATTGCCTGTTCAACAACAGTGTTTTCTCTGTTACAACTTTACAAACTTATACACTATTGAAAATTATGGAATTTCCGACCACTTGAAAGTGATCTTAAATCAAGTCGAAAGTAAAAGTGATTGGAAATAGCAATAAAGGTTTTTCCGAATACCAAAAGTGGTCGGAACAAGGCTTTCGACTTGAACTTTTTTTTTTTTTTTTTGCCTTTCGACTTGATTTAAGATCGCTTTCAGGTGGTCGGAAATTCCATAATTTCCAGTAGTGATATTACCAACAAATATTTAAAATGATAGACAAACATTTTAAGCAATTAGATTTTTTTTGACAACTATGACTAATTCTTTTTTGAAAAAAAAAAAAAAAAAAAGATCGACAACTCTCTTACCACCACTTTGATTGATGATTAGTAATACCAAAAAAATAATTTTACTAACAAAAAAAGTAGTGTTCAAATTGAAATCTTCGATTTTTGACCACTTTTGAATTGTTAGAAATCAAAGAATTTCTAATCATGTTACAACATGAGAAATACACCATTATTTACTACTATAAATAAATAAAATATAACGAGAATTTTCATATAAATAATTATATATCATTTTATTCATAAAAATATTATCGTCTATTTCTATTTATAATAATAAGCATACTATAAATATATACACAACCAAAAGTCATACACATGATTTGCAGGCTGCAGTGATGGCCACAAGTTTAATTGAAGATGGATTATATATTTTAATCTCATCTCATTTCTTATTAATTAGTTTGTACGAAAAAAAAAAAAAGCTGGCCTCGGTCATCAGTGAATTATATAATAAGTTAATTAATTAGAGGCTGCTAATATAAATGAAAGCTACCTACAATAAAGTTGTGTTATGTCGTAATATTATTATTTTTTGTTTTGTTTTTTTTTTTTTGGTGTTGTTTTTTGGGCACTATCTATAGCATTGCAAGCCTACCTCCAATAGTCAATGGTTTTACTATATATATTTTTTTAAAGCTGTAAAGTCGAATATTATTAATGAATATGCGAAACAATAAACTCAGGGGGGACATCATCCCATAACATAGTAGAATCCTGGTCAGTGACCCTAGATGCTAATGTATGAGCAATAGTATTTAAACGCCTAGGAATAAAACGTAAATAACATGTAATAAACTGAGCCATAATGGTCTGACACTCACAGACAATAACACTAACATACGATCTAGGATGCAGATCAACTTTGGAGAGATAGGACTTCAACACCGAACAATCCGTGAATAGTGAAGTAATCTAGCGGCCCCTAAGTCAAGATAAAGCCTCTTTACAAGCCAGTGCTTCAGCCGTGATAGTATTCTCACATGACGGCAATGATTTTACTATATATTTTGCTATTATATAACTAATTGATTAAACAAAAATGAGTTAAATTGCCTCAAAATGAGTGATCAAATAGGTACCAAAATGTTAATAGTTTGATTTTTGTCAACATCTTC